TATGAGTCAGACTCAACTTGACAGAATCTAGCAAGAACAACAACAACCTTTCCAAAAATTAGTAATAAAAAAATAAACCTCACTTTTACAAATAAGGTAAGTTAAGGTATTAGTTACTGTGGAGTTGGCCCCTGATTTATGATGAAATCATTTATAACAATACAAAATTGCAGATTAACCTATTATGATCCAAAGAGTTTTTCACTAGCTGGTTTTTTGTAATAGATCACTGTGCCATTCTTTCTAGTGTGTCTTGGTCTGGAAGTTACACTGAAATCTATTCACCATCACAGTAACATACAAGTCTTTAAACTGGTAGAAAATCAAATGTAAGTGTCCTCCATTGGAGGTGATATTTCTACCACCAAACCAGGAATGCTTTCAAAGCAACTGTAGAGTAAATCAACTTGCACAATTATATAATCATCACTGGTGCTGTAAGACATTTTCCTTTCACTGTCTGTTAAAACAAATATTTGTAAATATGTATGCAGCTCTTCAAATCTAAACATTTATTATAATATTCTCATAGGGCAATTCAGTCAATTGGTGTACTTAGCTCATGAAAATAATGTCCCTAATGTACTAGGGATATAGTAACTAATGTTAGATGGATATTGGCTGAAAGCAGGCAGTACCAGAGGAATGTCTATCTGTGTTTCATTGACTATGCAAAGGCATTTGACTGTGTGGATCACAACAAACTGTGGCTAACACTGAGAAGAATAAGAATCCCAGAACATTTGATGGTGCTTATGCAAAACCTATACTTAGACCAAGAGGCAGTCGTCATAACAGAACAAGGAAACACTGCTTGGTTCAAAAGCAGGAATGGTGTATGCCAGAGATGAGTCCAATCTCCATACCTTTTCAATATATCTGCAGAACAGATTATCTGGGAGGCGGGGCTGTATGAGAAATGTGGCATCAGGATTGGAAGACTCATCAACAATCTGCGTTATGCAAATGATACAACCTTGCTTGCTGAAACTGAGAAGGAACTGAAGTGCTTGCTGCAGAAGGTCAAGGATTGAAGCCTTCAATATGGATTGAAGCTCAATATCAAGAAAACAAACATTTTCACCACTGGGCTGATTGGCAGCAACATGAAGAATGGTGAAGAGATTGAGACTGTAAACAGCTTTAATTTGCTTGGCTCCATAGTCAACACTCTTGGCACCAGCAGCCAGGAAATGAAAAGACAAATTGCTTTGTGAAAGACTGCTGTCAGAGACCTCTCCAAAGTACTGAAGAGCAATGATGTCAGTCTGGAGACTAAGGTGTATCTGATAGAGGCCATGGTCTTTGCAATTACTTACTATGCATCAGAGAGCTGAATTAGAGATGATAGGAGAGAATTGATGCCTTTGAGCTGTGGTGCTTGAGAAGCGTATTGAATATACCAGGCACGGCTAAGAGAACGAACAAGTTTGACCTAGAGAGGGTGAAGCCAGGCTTCTCCTTGGAGGCAAGGATTCTGAAACTTTGTCTGACATACTTTGGACATGGTGCAAGAAGGGACCAGTCCTCGGAGAGGGACGTCATGCTTGGGAGGGTGGGAGGGACAGCACTGGAGGGGAAGACCCTCAATGAGATGGAGTGACTGGGGAAATGAGGAGTGTGTCAGAGAAAATAAGATTGGCAAAGAATAGAGCAGGGTTAGGGCTGTTGTACATAGGGTCTCTATGAGTCGCAGGTGATTCGACAGCACGTAACAACAACATAAAATAAAGCCACTCATGAGAAATGAGTTCTCTGAAACAAAGTCAGTTTACAAGACCTACTGGCTAAAATTTACCCAAAAGCAAAAATAAGAGGGCAACAAGGGGCAAGAAAATAACAAATATAACAGAAATAATGAGAATGCTGATACAATGCAAATTTGTAACCAATGACACAGAAAAAGTTTGTACAAAAATTGGTAGTTGAGAACGTTTTTTGCTAAGTAAACTTTCACCTAACACAAAATAGCAAATTAAAAATACATATTATAAAGCAAATTTTATCATGGTGTGAACTAATAGTTAACAGTAGCTAGCACAAAATAGTATAATTTATATGGTTAGATTTATCTGGTTAGACCCTTGGTTACTAACCCAAAAGCTGGTGGTAGGAACCCTCCCAGCAGCTTTTCAGGAGAAAAACCTGGAGAGCTACCCCTGTAAAGATTGCAGTCAAGAACACTCTATAGGGCAGTTCTGCTCAGTCACATGGGGTCATGGAGTCATAATCAACTTGATGGGTACAAGAATGACAAAGAGGCAGAGTCAAACCTTGTCCAACTTTTAAGAGAGGGAAGCCATCATCATGATTTTCATGAAGCTGAGCTGTCCAAAAAAATAAAAGTCCAACATTTTCACCAATTCTAACAAAGCTTTTCTTCAACACAGCTACTCCTCTGCTATGTTCAATAACACACGTAACAGTCACACAGAACTCAAAGACAATACTCACAATTATGAGCTGTTAGTAATAATTGTGGTTATTCACTGCACTGCAATAGCACTTAATGATGACATAACTTACAAAATGCTTTCCTAATTTTTTTTCTAGTAGTATGAAGGTACAATGATTTGCAAGGCACTTAAATTCAAAATTATTATATATTTGGTAGCAAATATTTGCAAGTTTAAGAATAAAGCAAAATACTCATATGGATTCTATATTTGCAAGTGTAGTTTCTAAAAAAAAAAAAAAGAAAGCATTTTAAGAAAAGTAATATAGATTCCTAGTTGGTTGACTCCAAGATTTTTAAGGTGCTAAGAGAAGACATATACCCCTTCTAGTCCCCTCCCTCCCTTTCTTTTTCTTTTCCCTAAAAAACCAAGCTAGCTGTATTGAGTTGACTTAAACTCATGGCATCCCATATGTTGCAGAACAGAACTGATCCATATTTATTTTTACCTTTTAAAAACAAATTGCCAGACCTTTCTTCCAATGTACCTCTGAGTGGGTTCAAACTGATAGGTTTTCGGTAAGCAGCCTATTATTTAACCATTTGTTCACCAAGGGCTGGATTTCTTGAAGCAGAGGCACAGAAAGTGGCTCTGAGGCTGCCCTGAGCAGAACCAGATAGAGTATAATATGACTGTTTCTCCCTGATGTCTGGCCTCTCTTAGAGGTACAAAGGAATGGGTAAACAGGAAATCAGACCTGCCAGAGTTTATTCAAACTCTGCTATCATATTCCTGTACTTGAGCTTACCACACCATCCCTGAAAAACTCATTCATGCAGTCATTTAAAAATACACAAAAATTGAGAGCTCCTGTTTCTTGATTCAAGCCCAGCTTCAGCAAGTCCAAAAGACAGAAAGCAGGGTCCATGTCCAAGTGCTTTTAAACAATGGTTCTTTGTTTAGGTTTTCGGTTCCAATGACTCTTCCCTTACAGTCCACCCCTGGTTCTCATTCAATACCCTTTTATCTGGTTGGTGCTGATGAAGAATGTGGTCTGAGAAACACGATTTAAAAAAAAAAACAACCAAACACAAAACACGGTTTCCTGCAAGAGGCACCCATGTTTGGCATGAGCCCCTTTGGCTTTGCATTCTGGCTAATAAGAGCAAAAACAGCTTCTCTTTATGGCCTTGCCTCATCTTTGACCAAAAACTACTGAGTATGTTCTGACCTGAACTTTGCTTCAGATAATCTCCAGAGATAGCCAAAGATTCAATACTACTCTTTAAATAAATATGCTTTTAAATCATACCAAAATAGATGAGATGACTCAAATTGCAAATGCCATGCCTGTCACCTCACCAGTTGCAAGTTAAACTGGTTCTACTGGTAACTGATCCTAAATGGATCTCCCAGTCTATTACCTCCTCTCTAGTCCCAACAGAGTCATTTATTTGCCACTGAGTGACTGGCCGATGGTTACCTCACGTGTGTCAGGATAGAACTGTTCTCCACAGAGTTCTCAGTGGCTGATGTTTCTGGAGGTAGATCTGCAGGTCTTTCTTCTAAGATGCCTCATCAAGAGCCTGGAAGCTTAACCGTGTACTCTGAGGTCAGTGTCTGATTTTCCTCACATAAAAGGTTGGGAGCATGCAAATAGGTGTGTAGACTACTGAGGAGGGGACTGGTCAGTCTTGTCACCCTTCCAGGTTTAAATGGAACAGAATTAGCATTCCTACTTAAAAAATGGAAATCTCATGACCAGCAATACACAAAAAGCAGAGAATACACTCTCCATTCCTATGCCAGTCAGACTGGAACTGCCACTAGAGTCAAGGGTCATCACTCGAGCTTGCTAGAAGACTGGGGGAGGGTGGGAGTAGAAGACACCATAAAGACAGGAGTCTGAAGGTCAAAAGGCCTTTAAGCTCGCTTGAGAAGCTGTTCTCACTGAAAAACTCTATCTGGTTTCCAACCTGAATACTTCCTGTTAACTTTTCTCATAAACCCTATAAACATGAGGTTAGTTCTGTGGGTTCTATGTGGCAATTTCAAAGGACTGTCAGACCCAGTACTAAAGTAGTGAGAGCCCTGGGAGGATGATTAGAGTTAAAATTGGCAGAAGTAGGTTCAGGGAACATGGCCTCATGGGAATCATGTTTTGTTGTTAACTCTTGTGGAGTTAATGGAGGTCAGCCTTAGTCACCTCCACACCAGCCAAACTTTTTATACCATTTGCCCCACTCAGGTCCTCTAAACAGAAACGCTACTTAAGTACGTGTACCTTTTGCTCTAGAAAGTCCTCTTAACAAATTCAAAGTTTTAAGTAATAAGGCATGTGGATAATTTCTTTGCACACAAATCAATCCTCATGTCAGGATGCAGTTGTGACTTTGCACAGAGGAGAACTCATAATTAAGGTGCCTCTGAGGCCTCATAGAAAGACTGTTATAGTGAGTGGGCTGGCCATAGTTCTGGGACCTGTCACAAGGGTTCGGCCATAGTTCTGTTTGGTAACTACCCTGTTAGGTAATGTGCTTCTCAGTCCTTCTCTCCACAGATCCAGCTTTCTCTCACTTACACAAAGCATGCTGGTGAGCTTACCCAGAGAAGCCCAGGAAGGAGCCTGCCAGATGTCATTCAGCTGCCAGTAAAGTGCTCCCATCGTGTGTCCTTCTCCGTTCACTATCTCATTTCGACTACGGAGGTAGAATTCAGTTTCCACTTTGACACACTGGGCCTGCATCACCTGATTCAGAGAAAAACAAGAAAACACAAAGTGTATTATTTGATGTAGGCTGCCTCAGTGTGCAGAAATGACAGGCTTGAAGTTCTTAAGGAAAACTGTATAAATTAGGGAATTCGATTACAAATCAAAACTCAAACTCATTGCTGTCGAGTTGGTACCGACTCATAACTGACTTGGGTGGATTTCTGAAGCTGTAAGTAATATGGGAGGAAATGATTTTTTTCTTCTTCAGAGTTTCTAGCATCAGGCAAATCATTATTAGTCTAGACCTAAGAGAGAAGCTATTGTCTGCAACCGCACGTATGGGGAGGGCAGGGGGTGGCTGGTTCATTCGGTTATGAAAACAAGTACAAAGGGAATGCTCTTGTTAAGTTGCTATCAAGTAGATTCCAACTCATGATTTCCCCAAGTGTTCAGGGCAGAACTTTGCCGCTGTCTTTCACAAAAGCAGTTCATCTGGCCTGTCTTCTCCCATGCCTTTTGAATGGTTTCAGTCTCCAAATTTTTGCCTAGTCGTCAGCACTTTACCATTCTTATCACTCAAGACCCCTGATGAGAGGAAACGTGAGGGTGCTAGTGATAACTCTGGTCATGGGGGGAACAAGCAACAAGGACTATTTTTCCAAAGAAAATGCTATATGTAGTAAAATCTGCATTTTTTCAATGATGAGTTTTGTTAATACACTCATAGGTTTGAAACAAACAAACTAGAGGGGGGGAAAATGTCCAGTTCCTGATTTCTCAATTTCTCTTACCTAGTCAAATAATTGTTTTTATAATATAAATTTTTATCATTTATGCAAAGGTGTGTTTTCTGGTTTGGGGTTGAAAAGAGGGTGTGCTCGCAACAGGGTGTGAGAGGACTGGATTTGGTCTCATCTTTCAAAAGCTCTCGGGTCTGAGGCCCTCATGCCTGATTTTTGTGAATCTCCTGAAGAAAACAAGCTTGGAAGCAGGAGCGGCATCCACCTCCAAGAAAAAAAGCTTGCCTCCCGAAACTCTATGAACTTGGAAAAAAGATGAAAGTTTTGTGTTCAAGACTTTCATTCATAGGGTTGCTATGGGTTGACTACGACTCTACAGCATTTAACAACAACAACAACAACAACAACAGCATGCTATTTTATGCATGCAATTCCTTTGTTATAGCAAATTATAAGAAAAATTGTAGCAATGAGACAGGTTAGTTTCATTCTTATTTTAAAGATTGCATTGCATCCCATAAAAATCATTCACTTAACTCATTGCCCCTGAGTCAGTATCAAACTCATAGCTGACCCTCCACTGGGTTTATAAGGCTGTACATTGCACAGGAGATGATTGCCTCTCAGAACCATTGGTGGATTCAAACTACCAGACAGGTCCAGCTTTGTGTTAACAGTGCGACTCTCTATGGACAACAGAGCTGTAGGTCATTCAATGTCAATACTAATGGATAAGTGATATTTTTCAGTGTTAGATCACCTTCCTTTAGAACGTGCACAATTATTAATCTTTTCCAGCTGGTTGGCCAAGAAGCATCCTGTCAAATGTCTTACATTGTTGAAACATAGCAGTTGGTATCCTGTCAATTCCTGAAGTCATATTTGTCTCCAGGGCCTTCAGAGCTGCTTAGACGTCTTCCTTCAATACATTGATTCTTTATCAAATGCTACCTTCTGAGATGGCTGAATGTCAACCTTTTGTACAGTAATTCTGTGTATATCTTCCACCTTCTTTTGATGATTCCTGTATTAGTCACATTTTCTCCATAGAATTTTTAAGTGTTACAATTCAAGGCTTGACTTTTTTAATAACTTTTTGCTTTCTTCCTCTATAATATCCTTCTTGCCATCTCATAACTAGCTTAGTCTTAGATAGTGTTCAAGGAACTAAATCTATTCTTGAGATGGTCTCTAATTTCAGGCATGTTATACTTTGGTGCTCATGGACTTGTTTTAATTTTCTTTAGTTTCAAGTACAACTTGTACATGAGCAATTGATTCAGTTTGTGCTACACTTAGCCCCTGGACTTGCTCTGACTACTGAAGGAATAAAAAAGAAAAACTGAAGCAAAAGACTTAAGATATGTAAGTTGCTATTTTCAGGATGTCTAGACAATTTCCAAGAAAAAAATGTCAATCGTATCTGCATAAGATTAAGGAAAAAAATATTTACCTACTTTTAGACCTGAAACCTGTGAGGATCATAACAAATTGTGGCTAACCTTGAGAAGGATGGGAATCTCAGAACACTTAACTGTGATCATGCAAAACCTGCACCTGGACCAGGAAGCACTGGTCAGGATAGAGTAAGAAAACAATGCATGGTTCAAAATCAGGACTGTATAAAACGGTTATTGTAGAATGAGTATTAGGATCCAGGAGGGGTGGGAAAGGCTGGAATCAGAGGGATGTGAATGTGCAGGAGGAAAAGGGGATTAATCATTGGGTTGTACAATTTGATGTGGGGGGGCAATGAAGGAAACTGAAAGAATTTGTTCAAATTTATATTCGAATTTTGTAAATAAAATAGTAGGAAAAGAATAAAATCTAAATAGATTGAAAGAGAGAAAAAAAACACCCCAAAAATCGGGAATGGAATGTATCAGGAATGCACTTATCTCCATACTTATTCAATCTATATACAAAACAGATCATTCAGGAGGTTGGACTTTATGAGGAGGAATGTGATGTTAGGACTGGAGGAAGACTCATCAATGATGTGCATTTTGCAGATGACACAACCTTGCTTGCTGAAACTGAGAAGGACCTGAAACATTTGCTGCAGAAGGTCATGGACTGTAGTCTTTAAAATGGATGAAGCTCAAGGTCAAGAAAACAAAGATTCTCAACACTGGGCTGATTGATAGCTTCATGACAGAGAAGAGATTGAGATTGTTAACAATTATAGCTTGCTTGGTTCCACAATCAACACTCTTGGCATCAGCATTCAGGAAATCAAAAGATGAAATGTGTTGGAAAAATCTGCTGCCAAAGATCTCTCTAGATTACTGAAGAGCAATTATTCCAGTCTTGAGACTAAGGTGTACCTAATACAGGTCATGGTCTTTGCAATTACTTGCTACGCAGAGAGCTGGACAATGACTAAGGATGATAGAAGAAGAATCAAGGTCTTCGAGTTGTGGTGCTGGAGGAGTATTGAACATACTGTGGACTGTCAAGAGAACATACTGTGGACTGTCAAGAGAACAAAGAGACCTGTCCTCGAGAGGGTGAAGTTGGGTTGCTCCTTGGAGACAAGGATTTTGAAGCTCTTTGGGCATGTTGCCAGGAGTGACCAGTCCTTGGAGAAGGAAATCATGTTTGGAAGGGTGGAAGAACAGTGCAGGAGAGGGAGATGAGATAGATTGACTCAGTGACTGGGGTAATAGGAGTAGGTGTGTCGGAGATGATGATATTGGCTCAGGATAGGGCAGGGTGCAGAACTATTGTACACAGGGTCAGTACAAGTCACAGGCGACTTGAGGGCACATAACAACAACAGAACAGATCGGAATGAAACCTAGGCATAGAAAAATTAAATTACCATTAGAATAAGCAGTGATTGTTTGCTCTAGTGTGTCAGGAAGTGTGAGGATGGCACAGAATAAAACAGGGTTCAGATCTTTTATTCATAGGTTTGCTATGAGTCATACTCGACTGGATGGCACCTAACAACAACAATAATTGATTGCTGATTTACTAAACAAAACCAATGTAATAGCAGCAACTTCTAAGAGGCTCAATGAAAAAGAGTCAATTAAGTTAAACTTCAGTAGAGAAAGTTCTGGAAGCAGTACTGATTCATGATCTATGTCTCTTAGAGCTTGAAAGGTGATGTGATAATACTGGAATCCACTTGTGAATTGATGTTGAGTCATGTGAACAACAGGGTTGAACACTCTCCTATCTTACACCATCCTCACAATTTCTGATATGCTCAAGCCCACTGCTACCGTCACTATATCAATCCAGCTTGTTGAAGATCTTCCTGTTTCTCTGAGTTTCCGTCTTTTTCCAAGTACTGGCACCTCCTGACAACATGCCCAAAGTATGTAAGATAAAGCCCTCAGTTAATGCCTCCTATCCATCTGGCTACAGTGCTTCTGTCAATGGAGGGTAGAGTGCTGCTGTGATGCTAAATGGGTTTCAGCAGAGCTTTTAGACTAAGGACACTAGCACTGGGAAGAGTGGTCTGGTAATCGTCAAAACATCAGCCAAGGAAAACCTTACAGATCCTAACAGTCTGAGTCACAAATGATCATGAAGATAGCATAGGATAGGGCAATGCTTCACTCTGTTACGCACAAGATCATCATGAACCAGGGAACAACACAATGGCAGTTAACATATACCTAGTGTATGGGTAGAAATTCAAAGCAGCCAGAAACCTTGTCACTGCAGTACACACATACAAGGCCCTGAGTGATAAGAAATCTCTGCTCTCTCCACATGATCCCTGGTGTGAAAGAGATCTCTGTAGGAGAGGCTGAAGAAGCCCCTGTATCATCCTAAGGAAAAACAAAGGGTCGGAGCAGGGAGTCCTGTCACTAGATGTCACTAGCAGTCACTAGACTGCTGACCTAATCCTGACAGGTTGAACAGAGGCAAAAAACTGCAGTCACCACCGGACACCACATTTAGGGTACTGATCCATGGTCTGCAATTCTCCTGACCTATAATATCCCCAAAGTGCGAGTCAATCCTGACACACTGAAAAGGCCAAGAAAACCTGTAACTTCTGACATAACCCCTGGCCCTTTCTGGAAATGTTTCAGCCCTTGACTCAACAGAAATCTGGAAAAGGAAAAGCTGTCCAAGGAATTTGGAGTCCCTTTCCTGAGCTCCAAATTTAACAATTATTGTTGTTGTTGTTATATGCTGTCAAGTCACCTGTGACTCACAGTGACCATACGCACAATAGCTCTGAAGCCTGCCCTGTCCTGAGACAGTCTCACTGACTCTAACACACATATCTCCATTGCCCCAGTTACTGTATCAATCCATCTCACCACAGTC